TAGAGAACTGGTTCTTAACCTTTGTTACTCAGATGTTTTTGGACTGCAACTCCCAGAAGCCTTCACCATCAGCTGTGCTGGCTGAGGTTTCTGGGAGTTGCAGTTCAAAAACACCTGAGTAACAAAGGTTAAGAACCACTGGTTTAGAGGATAACTGGCAGCAGAGCCAGAGGTTGGGAGTTCAATTCCCCACTGTGCCTCCTGGGAGAACAGCCAGCCCGTGTGGCCTTGGGCCAGCTGCATCATCTGAGGACAACCCCAGAGGAAAGGTGTGGTAAACTACTTCCAAGTGTTTTCAGTCTGGAAAACCTTGAAAAGGGTTGCCATAAATCATAATTGACTTGGCGGCAGATTATTAGTATTTTATTGCTAAAGTATAGCAAATTGCTATTTAATTTATTTGTAAATGTTTGTCCTACTTTTCTACAAAGATTCCAGAGCATCTCTTGCAACAGTAACCCAAACCCTGGTGTTTAGTTATCTTTTCAGAAGCCAAATGGAATAACTTGCAGTACATTCTCTCCCTGGCAATTAACAATTCTTCTTAGTGGTCTCTGTGATTCAGACTAGAGGAGGGCTTCTGACTTCATGTGCCTGACAGCTTCATAGAAAGCTCTCAGCACGGCACTACGGTTGCCACTCTGACCTTCTCCCCACCCCACCCCCAGGCAGGGTGGGCCACTCACCGTCCTTCATGCATCACCAGGGTCCTTCTCCAGCAGAATGCCAGCCCCAGCAGGAGCTCGGGCCTGCCCATCCCTGCCTCCTCAGGCAGCCGACCACTCCGCCAAAGAGATGGGGTGGGGATTCTCCACTCTCTCAAGTGGCCAACTGCTTGAGAAGGCAAGACAGGCTGGCCAAGGTCCTGCCCTGATTGGAGCACCGCTGGAGAAGACAGACCCCGATGACATCCGAAGAACAGTGGCCAAAGGGGTGGGGAGAAGGTCCACGTGACAGTTGCGGTGCTGAGCTGATAGCCTGGTACAAAGCTGTCAGAAGCATGAAGCACCCTTCTCTAATTCAGACCACGAACACCTTCAGAATATTCCAAAGCCCAGAAAATCCATTCCCTCTCCCTTGCGCATGCTTCCCACCGTATTTCTCTAACTCTCAACTTCCACAGGGGCTCATTAATTGCCAGCAAGAAGGTGTTAGAAGTTACACTGTTTGCCTTCCCCAGCATAACTAAGCAACAGGAATTTTTTTTTGCCGGGATGCGTTTTTTGTTTTTTTTTTAAAAGGTAAAATTAAGGAAATCAAATAATACTGAAGGAACAATGTAGATGACCTTTCATCAGAACAGCAGTGAAATCCAACTCAACGGATTCCTTACCATGCACTCATACATTTTTCAGATAATACGAAACACAGAATTGGGGGCCTCTGGGCTTCCCTGAGAAGGGCGTTCCAGAACAACCTTTTTCAGCTCATGGCCCCATCTCTCCAATCTACCAGCCAGGCTTCACTTATGCAGCGATTGAGGTACAGAGACATAAAGCAGACCTGTATCATGGATCCGAATGCAGGAGCGACTACATATAGAAGAAGGTGATTTTTAAAGTGCCCAGGTCCTAAGCCATTTATCTAGTTTATCAATATTATCACCAAGGGAGGCATCGTCTGCTTTTGCTACAAAAGCCGCGGAAAGGCCCCCGGAGGCTCTTGAAAGAATCGCAGCTTGCCAAAACACCCTTCCATTTGTTCCCTAGCTGGAATGAAATCCGAGTTGCAGTTTTCCTGACTCACATTCTTAGCTGCAGTGGCCCACCAAACTAGGGGAGGGGGAATTTATGAGAAATATGTTGAGAGAGGAAAGAAGAGCAACAGTTTATTGAAAGCTTAGAGACGTAAGCTTCCGAACAACTAACTATTTCTGCCAAAACTTATTTTTATTTTTTGGACTATATTTCCCGGGACTCCACACCCAGCATGCTGCCTGCAGGAGCCTGGGAATTGTAGTCCAATAAAGTAACTTTCCCAAGTTCTGATTCCTGCCTCTTCTTATTTTCATCTGCCCTGCAGCCTTGTAAGAAAAGTTCTGCTGTGGCTGGTTTCTCCCGTTTGGAGAACTGCTGGGCTGTAGTCTTAGCTAAGAAAACATTGACAGAAGGGCTCTGCTGTATTTAGATCAGCATGCTATCTAACTGAGGAGCTCCAGACCCACTGGTTCCACTTTTTAGCCTAGCAGATTACACGGGCGCCATTTAGGTAAAACCTAGGATGCTAAAATAAATAATTTCAAAATAACCATATTCTAATATTTGCATTTGGTCAGGTCACAAACTAAAAGTCAGGTGTGTATGAAAATGAGTCAGGGCCCCTGTCCAGGGCCTTTTCCACTCATGTTCCACTTTCTTTTTTAAAAAGTAAAGCTTTTTTTTTAATTTGTGGAGATAGTAAGAGAAAAATACCGGCAGACTTCTCCTTAAGTTGCACATTAAGAAATACTAAATAGACAAATTCTGGCCAGTTAGCTCAAAGATATTGTTAATGTCCTTGAAAAGTATCTGGAAACTCCTATTTTCATTTCATTCTTAACATTCATTCATTCATTCATTTTTTCGATTTCTACCCCGCCCCTCTAGACGGCGTCTACTCAGGGCGGCTTACAAATAAAACACAACAATATAAACAAATAGAAAATCATTAAAAATATTCAAATTAGTTACAATTATATTTACAATATTAGCACTTGATTAGAAGGCAAGACATTGCCAAAATGGCATACATAAGGAAAAAGAAAAGAATTAGGGATGAAAATCACTTAATTGACTGGAGGGAAGGCCTGTTTAAATAGCCAAGTTTTTAGCTGGCTTTTAAACACACCCAGCGAGGGTGCCAGCCGAATTTCGGTTGGAAGAGTAGTCCACAGCCGAGGGGCAACCGCCGAGAAGGCCCGGTTTCTTGTTTTTTTCTTCCAGGCCTCCCTCGGCGTCAGGCCTCTCAGCCGTCCCTGCTGGCTCTGGCGGGTGATTCGGGTAGATCTTGGTGGGAGAAGATGGTCTGTCAAATATTGGGGTCCCAAACTGTTTAGAGTTTTATAAGTAATCATAAGCACTTTAAAGTCAGCACGGAAATGAATGGGTAACCACTGCAAGGCAGCCAGAGTGGGGGGAGATATGCTGATATTTCCTCACCCCACTTAGAAATCTGCCTGCCGCATTCTGGACCCCCTGCAGCTTCCACATCAACCTTAAAGGCAGCCCCACATAGAGTGCATTACAATGGTCTAATCTCGAGATTACGAGCGCATGGACTAGAGTAGTGAGGGCCCCCCGATCAAGATATGGTCGCAGCTGGGCAATCCGCCATAGATGGAAATAGGTGGAGCGGACCACGGACGCCACCTGGGTTTCCATGGTAAGCGCCGGGTCCAGATGTATCCCCAAGCTGCGCACCTCACACATGTTGGATAATTTTAAGTATGCGGAACTACCTGCCTTTAGGTTTTCTGCAGCTTTGCCGTTTGCTTTCAAAAGCTAGCCCTCCCGTTGGACAGAGTGATCGAACTACTTCGGGACACAGTGGGTAGGTGTTATGGGTGAGGCAGAACCAGCTAACACCGACACCACCCAAAGAATCCACTAGGGCAGGGCAATCAGGGCAATTTTGGCCCAGGGTGCCAAAATGTAAGGGGTACATAAAATATATATTCTGGAAGAACCTGCCCATCCTTGGTTCACCTCCAACAACTCCTGCCAGGTCACAAGGGAAAACTGGAACAGATTTGCTCAGCCTTGTATCAATACTGCCATGCATTCATCTCCTTTCCTGCAGATTAAGAGTCCCATGAGTTTAAATAGGGTAGTGAAACCCTGGGTACCAACACTGATAATCACAGCTATTTTCACCCCTCTCCACCTACCCACCAGTTCTCCTTTCTTGGAGGGCCAAGCTGAGGGCCCTGTGACCACTAAGCTAGCTTTCCAGTTACCAAGACACTTTCCCATTCCACGTGCTGAAGCAACAGATCTGGTCAACTTCCATACGCTGAAGCTGAGGGGGAGTTATAGCCTTTACTTCGACCCTGAGGCTTTAAATTATTATTTAGAGAAGGAGTGGGCAGCTTGTAATCCAGTAGGGTTGTGGCTCTCATCATCCACCAGCACTGGCTGTGCCTGGCTGGGGCCGGCAGGAGATGGATT